CCCTAGGCTTCACATCCTCTCTCGTCTACTCTGGGTGGCCTAGAGTTGTGTGTGTCTTGTGGAGGCGCAAGTTCTGTGGGCTAAAGAGTGGGGAGCCTGTCTCCCTGGTAAGGGGAAGGCACCACCAGGATCACTGGTGCCATCTCCTGCAATGGGTCTTCTGGTGTTGGGTCAGACAGAACTTTAGGAGTTTTTTTCCTTTGGCAGGTGGAGCAGGATCCTTCCATGACTATCTGTCCCTTTGCTACTAGCACTGCTGCTGCCAGCCCTCTTAGCCACTGTGGGGGGTCTAGTACCAGCTGTAACCAAGTGTCTATGTACGGGAACTGGTCTGGGTGTCCTGGCTTTCCAGTTACCTTGTGCCATTTGAAACAAGAGACCTGTCCAGGCTTCCTTCTGAGGGCCAACCCACTTCTAATGCTGGCCAATCTATCTCACACAAAGTTCTCAGTTTCTCTGGTGTCATAGTAACTCCATAGTCTCTGTTAAATCCTTTCTTGAAATTTTTCAACGTAGTTCGTAGCGGAGTGGGCTTACTTTGTGCCTGACCCATTTATCCTCAAGCAAAACAACACTCACACTACAAGAAAGAAAGGGTAAAAGGTCACTGACTCATCTAATTCACACTAAATCAAAATCAAAACCAAAGCCAAAGTGTCATTAAAGGCACACCTGTTCATCAAGCAATTCAAGCCAAGTTAAAACCAAAACCAAAGTGCCAATGAAGGCACGCCATGGGTGATCAGGCCACGCTTCCACTCAAATGGAGTGGGCAAGTTCCCAAGACCAGTCTTACTGTGTTTCAGATGACTGGGTTCCAAGTGCCAGTTCCTTCCCAGCGTTCAGCCACTGCGTTGATCCTCCATGGGGGCCTGCCAGGCACTGCTCTGATGAGGTGTTCCACTGGGGCAAATGCCTACCCGGGAGCACTCTCAGGATCCACGTCGCTCAAGCTGGCCAGAGTCTTCTGGAGGGATGCTCCACAGGGCAGGGCTAAGCCGCCGAAGGGGCTGCCTCAACCATCCATTAATCACCTTGCTTCCCAGTCAGGGAATCAAGAAATATAGCAGGACGAGCAGAAGACAAAACCCCTCAGACACTGGGTTAAAGAAAGACGTGGCTTTATTCGGCCGGGAGCATCAGCGGACTCGCGTCTCAAGAACCGAGCTCCCCGAAAAAGAAATTCCTGGCCCTTTTAAGGGCTTACAACTCTAAGGGGTCTATGTGAAAGGGTTGTGATAGATCGAACAAGCATGGGGAATGTGACTGGGGGCTACATGCATCAGCTAATAGAACAGAAAGTTTTGCAATGCTTCTTCATACAATGTCTAGAATTTACAGTAAGTAGTTTAGGTCAGGGGTTGATATTATTATTACTATTTTTTTTAACCACCAGGGCCGAATGGTGGTGCCAAGGTTGTCTGGCTATTTCTCTTACTTCTGTTTCTTTCTAACTTTTTGTTTTCTTCCTTTCCTCCTGTCTTGAGAACTAGGCAAGGGGGAAGGAGGAGGGCCTTCTCCTATCTCAGAATATTCTCCTTTCTCAGAATAGAAAGAATGGGAATGGTCGACTTTACACCAAGACATTCCATTCCCAGGGACGAGCAGGAGATAGAAGCCTTCCTCTTATCTCAACCTCAAAGAGGCCTTCCTCTTTCACTAATCCTCCTCAGCACAGTCCCTTTATGGGTGTCAGGCTAGGGGATGGTGAGGTCTTTCCTTTCCCACGAGGCCATATCTCAGGCTGTCTCATTGGGGAAACCTTGGACAATACCCAGGCTTTCTTGGGCAAAGGTCCCTGCGGCTTTCTGCAGTGCATTGTGCCCCTGGTTAATAGAGAAAGGAGAATGGCGATGACCAAGCATACTGCCTGCAAACGTGTTGTTAACAAGGGGCATCCTGCACAGCCCTAAATCCGTTAAACTTTGATTCGATACAGTACATGTTTCTGTGAGCACAGGGTTGGGGCTAAAGTTACAGGTTAACGGCATCTCAAAACAGAAACAATTTTTCTTAGTACAGATCAAAATGAAGTTTCTCATGTCTTCCTTTTTTACACAGACACAGTAACAATCTGATCTCTCTTTCTTTCCTCACACAGGAAATTGAGAAAGATATTCATGACTTTGAGTTTCAGTGGCAAGAAGATGAAAGAAATGCCCATGGAGCACCCATGACAAAAATAAAAAAGTTGGCCGGTGGTACAGACTGATATGATCAAAGGCATGCTGGAAACAAGCCTATTAAAAGACCAGCTGAGATCAAGCTTTTATTCACATTGGTCTGAACTCCACATATTTCAGACCGAAGGGAAAATTGGTAATCAAGTTGAGAAGTCTACTAATGATGGTCCTTCAGTTTCAACATCCCAAATAATTTATTGTAGGCCCCAAACCCATATTTCTTAAAACTATGGAAATAATTTCCTCAATTCATCATTACACAAAAACAGGAGGTACACATGAGAGAAAAGTCTTTCCAATGTAATGAAAGTGGCAAAGCCTTTAATTGTAGCTCACTTTTAAGAAAACATCAGATAATCCATTTAGAAGAGAAACAATATGAAAGTGATGTATGTGGCAAGGTCTTGTTATTGTGGTGGAGATGATATCTCATTTAGGGGAATATTTTTTTTGTTTGTTTTCAATTACATTTTCTCAACATTTAAAAAGTGAAGTAAAGAGTATTTCTTGGCCAGGCGCAGTGGCTCACGCCTGTAATCCCAGCACTTTGGGAGGCCAAGGCGGGCAGATGACAAGGTCAAGAGTTCAAGAACAACCTGGCCAACATAGTGAAACCTGGTCTCTACTAAAAATACAAAAAATTATCCGGGCATGGTGGCAGGCGCCTGTAATCCCACCTACTCGGGATGTTGAGGCAGGAGAATAGCCTGAACCCGGGAGGCGGAAGTTGCAGCAAGCCTAGATCTGTGCCACTGCACAGCAGCCAGGGTGACAAT